CAAAATTTTTAAAATGATTAATGATACTGTCACCACAAAATATCTGCAATTTGATAAATACTTACAGATGCATCTCCAATTTGAGCCAATGCGCTAAGGGATGTTAATCTGAGAGGTGTAGTAGAGTACGAAAGAGATACGTCAATGGTTAATCCTCCCATTGATGCTCTATGAGATAAATATTTATACAGTTATTTATTTAGTAGCTATTCTCAAATTAATTTTCGAAACCTAGGGGGTAATTCCCTTATTTTTAAAAATACAGGATTGCAACTTTCGCAATAGTTTGCTGCTATTTTTGTGAAATTAAAGATGGCGCCATCAGAATTTTTAAATCCCTTTTGGCTTTTGAAATACCGGGTGGAATTGAAAAGTATCACTTTTGTGGCATCCAATCCCCCTCGTAGCCTAATTATTTCCAGACTTATAGAAGAAGTTAAAACTTATTTTTATAGAATTTTTTAGAATCCGGTGACGTAATCACCTTCTTCCAGCACCTTCCGTTTTTTACTAATGACCCAAACATATGTATTTTACATGGAACACTCTGTATATTATTTTATACATGTATTAGGCATAATGTCGACTTCCCAAAAAAATAGGTATAAGTATATGCAATTATTTTCAAAAACAAGTTCAAAATTTAAGATTTTGTAAAAATAAAAGTTTAAGATTTGTGGTGTTACAGGCGATTGATGAGGATACCGTGGATAGAGAAGGTTAGAAATGAAGAGATATAAGAAAGAATAGGAGAACAGAGGACTCTATGGAAGTCAATAAAAAATAGGCTAAATAGGTTGGTAGGACACCTTCTCAGCCAGAGACATATTAAAGGCAGAAACAGGAGCAGAAGTAGATTACTGTTCGCAAACAGTTAAGGATGTGGGATGTCATGGTTGTAGGGAAAGAGTGGAGGTGCGTGTCCAAACAGTCTTAGGACTGACGACCTTATGATGATGATGAAGTTTAAGATGCGGGAAGAGGACGAAGTGCATCAAAGGTGATACTTTTCAATTCCGTTATTTATCTCAAGAACCAAAAGGGATATGAAAATTCTGCTGGCACTGTCTGTAGTTTCACAAAAAATAGGTAACTATTGCGAAAATCGCAACCATCTATTTTTAATAATGAGGGAGATAGCCGGCAAAAGTACCGAAAATGGGATACTGTCTACTTATTTCTATCTCTATTTTTACCCTTTTACTTACTCTAGATTGGGAACACCAGCATCAATTCCCAGCAGTTTGCTACTGATTTTAAGACTGTCTATAACAGCATCAACTTCTGGATGACTGAATTTGGCCCTAATGTTTTCGCCATCATTTGATAATGTTGTAAAAGCGAAATTAGAGAATTTGGAAAGCGAAGCGGATTTAAGAGTAAAGGTGATCCTGTAATAAATTATAATCAATGTGAATTACTAATGTAATTCGGATGTAAATAATAGAAGTAAAATTCAAAACACAGAGCATCGCTTATATCTATAGTCTTAGTTATTATGTGATTCTGTAGAAATGGATGCTTTCTAAAGATGTAATAAATTCCATTGAACTCACTGGTTAAGCAAAGTGAAAGACACATCCTTAACTGTTGCTGGATCAAATTGTTCCAACACTTTCCTAATTTCTTCCACAGTAGAGTTAAATGAGGAATCCAACACGGCCACTCCTAAAGGAATATAAGATATAAGATATATAGACCTAGATTAGATTACTGTTCGCAAATAGTTAAGGATGTAGGTTGTGATAGTTTTAGGGAAGTTTAATGCGAAGATTACCTCAGGATAGGAAAGAGTGGAGGTGCGTGTATAATCGATCATAGGACAGATGTCCTTATGATGATGATATACTTGTATATATATCAAGATAAAAAAAATGAAAAAATTAAAGGATAATCATAATACATACTTGCGTTGACTAAGCTAAGGCAAGTCAAAAGTCCAAAGAACACAGCGGTTTTCATGATGCTGATTGTATGTAGTTTTCGTATTTTCTTAGGAGCTGTAAGACTGCTCAGAATGCTGTACTGACAAACAATTCTTTTTGATCTATTTATATACCTACCTAACTTTTACCTTTATTCCAATTGATAAAACCTTTCTTGATAAAGCGTTTGTATAGTTCAGAGTTCAGAGTAGATTATCTCTGTTGATAAAGGTATGCATTACTAGACCAAAATAGGGTGAACGGTGGCATAACTGTTTCATGGTCGAAGGTAATCTTCAGCTGATAAGCGTTAGTCTCTTTTCATTTTGTGTTCAGAAGAGCTGGTACACATTAATTAGTCTATGTTTTAGTTTAATGTTATTTCAACGAATTGAAAGTAAATTAAATCATATCAATCATATTAAAAGTAAATGCGGCAGGACATACGCAGGAGTTATTTCGGGAATTCAAACTTGAGCGTTCTTGCCATCCTTTTCTTACCGAATGGTGCTGCAGTTTTTCGTTTGCCCATCTTGCTCGATTATCCAACGTTCGTCCTATTCTGGTCAACTAATATGCTGAATGTTTATTTTGATTAAGAAGTTATAACTTCCCTTTGAATAAGCTTAGACCCTTACGACCGATACACATTATTACAAAATTATTATTCGGGCTTTATCGCTATGGTCCTCCTTAAATGGTACTTGGTTAGAGCTTCATATTAATTCATTTAGGGCTGCGTGATGGTTGTGTGTCCTAGGTATAAAACCATGACCAAATGTTTGACTTTGTAATAATTTCTTATGATGACTACCAAAGTTGGAAAGAAATGGGTTTATTTTTGTTCTCATTGTGATATTTAGGCCACCTTAACACAGTGCGATAATGACACGATTTACTGCTAGCGATTTGTCGTATCGTATCGGAACGCCGCTTTCACAATCATCATCATAAGGTCGTCAGTCCTACCCTGAGCTAATCTTCGCATTTCTCTAAAACTAAAACAACCCATATCCTTAACTATCTGCGAACAGTAATCTAACCTAGGTCTACCTCTACCCTTTCTAACTTCCTTTTCGGCCTCTAATATGTCTCTGACTAGACCTTCGTGTCTGAGAAGATATCCTACTAACCTATCTCGCCTAGTTCTTATTGACTTCCATAGAATCCTCTGTTCTGCTACTCATTATGCTACTAAATCTTGTTCCAAGTTGAAATGCGAGCCTTATTCTCGCAGTGTTGTCGGGTTTAGTTATATGTATCTAATGGAGCGAAAAACAGTAATTCTATTAAACCGACTATTTCGTAATTTAATGCTTTTGAAGTGAAAACTTCTTTAGCGACGTTGGGCACTTTTTGGCAAGGGAAAATGTTTTGGGTTCGCGTCACCGACATGCTCATGACTGGCGCACGCGCAGCGGCCGTGTGCTGTAGGCGCTAGACGCTTTTTGGATGGGTGAAATCTCATGCGTTCGCGTCACCGACATACTTGTAGCAGTATATCTGAGTATATCTGTAGCTATACAGCTACGACGATCGATGCGGTTTTTACGCAATACCTAGATAAATTTCAATCAAATGTTTTCATTTCTTACTTTAGTTACCATAAGCAAGCCCATTGTATTTTTTTTAGAACACAATGAATTAATTGAAAGTACAAAAAGTCTAAGAATTGTTGAAATTAATGATGACAATGGTGCAAACAATGTTAAAAATCAAGTAACAGGTCAATTGAAAAGTCCCCGGCCTAAAATAGTAAAACACATTTTTTTTTCAAAATTCGTTTTTTTTATTCAACATAATTCCCTTCAAGGGTGATACACTGATTATAGCGATCCTCCAACTTTTCGATACCATTTTTGTAGTACGATTTGTCCTTTGCTTCAAAATAGGCCTCAGTTTCGGCGATCACCTCTTCATTCGACGAAAATTTTTTCCCAACGAGCATTCTTTTGAGATCTGAGAACAGGAAGTAGTCGCTGGGGGCCAGATCTGGAGAATACGGTGGATGCGGAAGCAATTCGAAGCCCAATTCATGAATTTTTGCCATCGTTTTCACTGACTTGTGAGACGGTGCATTGTCTTGGTGAAGCAGGACTTTCTTTTTCTGCAAATGCGGTCGTTTCTCGGCGATTTCGTCCTTCAAACGGTCCAATAACGCTATGTAATAGTCGCTGTTGATGGTCCTTCCTTTTTCAAGGTAGTCAATGAAAATTATTCCACGCGCATCCCAAAATACAGACGCCATAACCTTGCCAGCCGACTGTTGCGTTTTTGCACGCTTTGGAGCGGGTTCATCGTGTGCAGTCCACTCCGATGACTGTCGATTGGACTTCGGAGTGAAATGATGGAGCCATGTTTCATCCATTGTCACATATCGACGCAAAAACTCGGGTTTATTACGCGTGATCATCTTCAAACACTGCTCTGAATCATCAACTCGTCGTTGTTTTTGGTCAAAAGTGAGCTCGCGCGGCACCCACTTTGCACAGAGCTTTCTCATACCCAAATATTCGTGAATGATGTGATGTATACGTTCCGTTGATATCTGTAGAGTGTCTGCTATTTCATTCAATTTCAATTTACGGTCATTCAAAATCATTTTGTGGATTTTTTTAATGTTTTCGTCCGTAACAGCCTCTTTTGGGCGTCCACTGCGTTCACCGTCTTCGGTGCTCACTTCACCACGTCTAAACTTAGCATACCAATCATTGATGGTTGATTTTCCTGGGGCAGTGTCCGGAAATTCGTTATCAAGCCAAGTTTTTGCTTCAACTGTATTTTTTCCCTTCAAAAAGCAATATTTTATCAACACGCGAAATTCCTTTTTATCCATTTTTTTCACAATAACAAAAGTTGCTTCACTAAAAATGCTATAATTCACAAACTAATGATCCGACAGCCGTCAAATTTATAGATGGAAATAAGATGAATTTAGTTCTGGTGCCGCCATCTATGTGTCAGGCCGGGGACTTTTCAGTTGACCCTAGTACATTGAAATTTATGTAAATATTTGAATAATAAAAAAACATGCATATAATTGTTGCTCGGAGTGTCAATGGATGTGAAAACCAGATTGATGTTGACAATTTTTATTCAAACATTGTGAAATTTCAAATTTTATTGCTAAAAGTTCTATGTTTTCACTTCTATCGGCAGTCCTTATAACTGCCAATTTTTTTTTTTTTTTGAGAAAGACATGTTAATAGCTGCAACTCACGATTAGCACTACCAGTTTATCATACACGTACTGGGGAAATGAGTATTGGCAACCATAGACGACGATAAATTGGCGCGACATACGACATGAGTTGGTTATATTGAATATACGTGTCGTGCAGTAGTTTTATCGCTCGATTTGTTAATGCAAAACGGAATAAATTTGCGACATTTTTTACTGTAACTATTTTAATATCAGATCGGATCATCGTGAAAGCCTTCGCTTTAAATACATTTATTTTGAATATACTTTTGTGTCGTTGCGATTTACTGCATGCAGTAAAACGTTTCGTTATCGTACTGTGTGAAAGTGGCCTTAGTGTCAAGCTCTTTAGCTGCATATTATTTATAGCATATAAATATTGTTGTAAAGTTATTATAATGATGTGATTGA